GTACCTGAACCCGCTAGATTATCAATCGTTTCCCTGTATCTATAGGTTTAATAATAGTTGTGTATACCAAAACTTAATTTTCGATTAAGAGTCGCAATTTCAGATTCTCAATTATCACAAAATACAAGAAATATGACGTATAAGTATATGATGACATACATACATGATGATATATATATATATTTATATATATATAAATGGTTGATCGAAGTGCGAGTATGCAAGTTCTTTCTATATTTCAGCTTATCTTACTATGAGATTCTAAGTTGAGATATTCATACACATTCCCATGAAACATTGAATGTTTTTGTTTTATTTTTCGCAAAAATATACGCAATCAATTTAAAAAACTATCTCATGTACTTGTAAAAATTTATTGTATTTAGAAATGTAATAATTGGACCCCTCAAAACGCTGTAAATGGATTTGCTCTTGGATGATGTTGTGTAAATGAGTTCGTGACATGAAGTGTTGATTAATGTAGCAGATAAGATAATAGATCATATTTGTTCTATATGCAGTTTAAATAATAAAGCAAATTAAAAATAAATTCATAAGCTTTTGTTGATTTAGTGACTATAACAGTTCAAGTACTACATATAGACTAAAAATTAAATACAACTACGTAATTTCTCCTTTGGAAATCATAGTGGAAAGCAAACAAGCTATGAATAGCACAGATTCTCAAATAAAAATCGTTTCTTAAGAATTTTGTTATAAAAATCTAAAGGAAAGTGTTCCACTTTAACAATAAAGGGTAATGAACTTAACACTAAAATACGTACTCAAGTAAGAATATATAAATCTGTTATCTTTCAAGTGAGGGCGTAACACAAATTATTTTAGCTTTGAAATTTTTATATGAAACTAATATTTTTATATACATTAGGAATAAAATAAATCTTAACAAAATTCAGATTCTTTCAATGCTAATTGCTTACAGAATCTACAGTGCAAGATAATTGAACTGCAATCAATTTAAGGTCCACAAGTAGCTACCGCTTTTATACACATAGTTAGAGTCCTACAATTTAGACGTTACAGTGGAACTGGGAGCTTTGCAAACGCCACGATATTGGTCGAAAAAAGTCAACAATATCGGCTGAAGTAGTTGGAAAAGTAAATTGGCTGCCAAGCTTTGCTATATTCCAATGAGCTTAAAGTAAAGACTTTATAGTTTCAAAACACACACGATCTGATACCGCAACAAAATACAAATATAGTGAAACGGAATTGCCCCATTTACCATTGAGCACTCTGTGAGCAAAGAAAATAACCGAGTTTACTTGTCAGAAAAGTCTTTGGAAAATGCACACATCCGGAAGACGGGTGGCCGTAACTGTCGATGGATGGTCTGCATATATGGAAAAACAATCTTAAAGGTATTATAAATTATGTGTTTTGCACAATAGTCTTTACCATGATACAGCAAAATAATACGACGTAAATTTTCATAAAAATGTAATTTTAACTATTCATATTATTGAAAATAGTTAAAAATTTACTAACTTAAGCCCTTGAAGTGTTATATGCACTGCATTATTTGAATTTGATTGTACTTAATACAATGTGAGTGTCGCAACACTTCAAGCCGTGTCAGTTAAATTCAGGCAACACCTTAAGAAATGTGAGAGAATGCTGCCCAAATCCATTGCAGTTATTATTGGTTGTGCTCATACCTAACAAGTGCATTTAAACTTAATTAAAATTTCATTTAGTTTGTTGACAAAGGTTATGATCCTTTTAATCAAATTTTACACCACTCTATGTTAAGTACTGCTATTGTACCTATGGTTACTAAAGGATAAAGAGCAATACATAGCCAAGTCAACAACTAAACAAGCGTGCACATATCAATTCTGTTGATACAAAGGACTCACAGGACTATAAACCAAAAAATCAACAATCTGTAATATGATTAATATGATGCATTGATGCAATCCAATTCCGATTACAACTATACGAATCTAAATTATGCAATATAGAAAATGCAATTACATGCCATGGACAATGCATGAACACAAGAGTTGACCTATACTTCAATAACCGTGCAACAGCCTCAGGACTTATGAGAGCAGATACGTTATTGCAGATTGATTCCAATCTGTACTTGCTGTTGACAACGAACATCATGAGCACAAGCAACTATTGGCGTGTCAGCAACCAACAATCGTAATTGGAATGAAATAATTGCATTTTGCATTGAAGCATGCATACTTCATTGAAGTATGAGGAATTCATGAGTTTGCGAGGTTAGGGGTCGCCTGGTCAGTTATTGTACAAGCTGGAAGGATTTAAAAATCAAATTGTCATAATCGATGCTAAAATGAAATTTTCATGATGGAGAAAGACAAAAAATTTTATTTTTCTCGAAAGAATCAGAGACAATTTCCCAAGTGTCGTAGAGAATTTGAGTTGTGGTGTCAAAATGAGTTGATTGTAAGACCGAAACATTTGTGCATGTTTCAGGCTACAAGACTCTTGGTCTTAGTCAAAAATTCAAATGACAAAAATCATTTTTGGTTCAGTGCATTTTTCAAGCTTTAAAGTCAAACAAGTCATTAACTTTTCACATTATTTAGTACTTAGAAAGAAGAAAGGTAAAATACTGAATAGGTTGAGTAAAGTTGTTGAATAATTTTTTGCAGGATATCACTTTCGTAATTAAAACACAGCGATTTTAACTTTTACTTATATAGTATAAACTTAAATAATAAATTTAAAATTAAATTAAAATTTAAGACACGTGTAAAATAAGATTTTCTGATAATACTAGAAAATTCCTTGATTGATAAAAGTGTATAAAGCGGTAACTAAATGTAATAAAAATATTAAATATGTGCTAATACTAGTAAGATAACAAACTAAACTAAACTGGCAGTTACTTTTACTCACAAATTACTATAAAAAGATGGCTTTTATAAAAGCGTTTAACTAATGTTATTACTTAGAAAAATTATATACCTATTATGTATTAAAAAAAAAAAGCTATACACTGTCATAAGTATAATAATTTTAAATCAGTAAGTAAACGATTACAAAAATCATATCGTTTTTAATGTAACAATCCATACTCTTCATTACATATGACCCTAAACCAAGAATCGGTAGATTAACGAACAGCTCAAACAAATCGAGAAGAGATCTACTTTTTGTTGGAAAAAACAACGAGATGTACCTTTATGTGTACCTTGAAACTACTATTATATGGTATTGAGAAAACTATTTAAAACTGTAGAAAGTAATATTTATATATTGTTTGAGGAAGTAACTTCTGATAATAGCTCCAGAGAAATCAATCTACTTAGCCATTATCTAATTTTAAACTAAAGAAATATTTTTGCTTTAATTAATATAAATAAAATTGTTACGTTTGACTTGCAAGTAATGTTATATAAAGTCATACCATGGATATTTAACAGTTTAGAACTTACATTTAAATTATCAGGAGTACTAAAATCGAACCGATTACAATAATAATATTGAATTATGTTGGTGAAGTGTACAATAACCAAACCCAAGGTGATTTTAAAATACGGATACGAAGAAAAATAAGAAGAATACAGATATATTATATAAATAATAATTAAAAAAACAAGCTCTATTTTTCAAATATTTGCTTGACTTCATTCTAAAGCTGCTTATTTATTGGGACTACATATTATTGTTGCTGTCATAACCCTAGCAGTTTCTCATTCTGGAGGAAGCTCTTCCTTGATGTGGTATAGATCTGATAGGTTTAGCATGCGGTCAGCGGTCATTAATGTTAAACGATTTTGAAATATATATCTTTAACTTCTGGAATCATAACTTAAAATTAAAGTGATTCACTCAAAAGTCGCAACATCCACACAAATGCATTTATGCTAATTTAAAATGATTAAATAAATAGCTATCAAATTAAAGGATATACATATATAATTAACTAAAACTGGATATGTGACTGATATGGGGAATATGTCAGATATTCCTGCTAGATGATTCGACTTTTTTGTCACCGTGTAACTCAGTTAACATTGAAAATATACATCTACCATACTCCCTCTCTTCCTATACTTTTTTTTGTCTCTTAGACTAAGAAATCATGCTTCGAATTTCTGGTTTTTGTTTTAAAAACACCCTGTATATATGGTATATATATATATATATTTTAGTCACTTTCAACGATTTCTTTGTTGAACATCACGTAATAAAGAAACACTATTGCGCTGCTTTCTTCGTTCCTTTGTCACTTTACCTCTCTACCAACATTCAGTTTATTTTGTGAACGTATAAATTTATACAAAATTCGTAACTGGGCCAACGATATTAAAACGTTTGATTTTTTTTTGTCAGAGTAAGGAAGAATCTCAATTAATGCACATTTTTATATTAAAATTCAGTAATTAAGGCACGTATGCCCAAGTTTATTTTTAAAGTTTTTTAATATTGAATATTTAAGCAGAAATACAAAAATACAAAAACAATCGCATTTCATTCTGTTTATACTGAATAAAATGGCAACACTGACCGTATTCATTCCTACTCAGCTGTTACGCATGTGCAGATAAACTGTAAAGCAAAGAAACGAATACGCCAACAACAACACAACAACAACAAACACACACGAACAGACCGAGTAACGGTCGACAAAACCAAGCACAAAAATAAAAAAAAATAAACAAGTACGCCAAATAATGCGTTTACTCGAGTGACGAACTTATAACGGTAAAAAAGTGAAATAATTTCGAAGAAAATAAAAGCAACAAATACACATGACATAAAATCATGTGTGTGCATGGCATGTAAACGAAATAAAGCAGCAGCAACAGCAACAAAAACAACAACAAAACAGCAACAGCATAAGAAATAATGAGGGGAAAAAAGCAGCAATTTTGCAACATAATTCTCGAAGACAGCTGAGGAGATGGGAGATGGGCTAATAATTAAGTGAAAATTTTAATGAAATCAAAATTTCTTTCAAAATATATAAAATAATTTATTTATGAAATCAAATTTACCTTCAGTTATTGTTATTACAAAAAAGAATAAATGTAATAATATTAATATTTTTGATTGCCTAAATCAAGTCAATATTTTTTTCTGGTATCAAAACAAAAACAATTTAAGTGCGATTTCTTTTTATTTTCACTATGCGCAACTTTGATTTTGCATTTCTTCTTTTTCCACACTTGAATTCTTTTACTTTTGCTCTTATTTTAAATTGATTAAGCAATTATTTGCTTTACTTCAAATATACAATATTTAATTTATGAATTCAATAGAAACAAAACTATTTTATTTCTTTCTATAAATTTTTTTTGCCACTTTTTGAAATTTTTCTTTATAATTAAACAAAATACAACGGGCACCGTTATTACTTCTCAACTGTCAATTCAGACCACACGAACGAAAACAAAAACAAATCCAACCACTCTCGCTGAGTTGCCGCGATCAACTGATAAAGATTTTCAAATTGTGGCTGTTTTTGCATTAAGAGAAGCTGGCACTCTTTCTCAAGCGATTACACAAATATTACACAAAATGTTGAGATGTTAGTTTGTTTTTTGTTAAAATTGAATTGTGATCTTATCATGCTGTTAATTTATATGTTAAATTAATACTTTTAAATTAAGTATAATACTGAAATTAATAACAAATAATAATTCAAATTAATTGTAAATAATAATTTTATTTAAATATATGGCATGACTAAGTCTTTCCACTCTCCGCAATTTTTCTCGCAGCGATATATAAGAAATAACTTAGTTCTGAAGACATCGGGCTTTAAAATTACAAATTTTACATAAAGAATATAAACAACAACTATTGCTGTATTTAGTTGTGGTTAATCTTCATTTGTCTTCTAAATATTAAAAGTGCATATGCTAGATACCACTAGTTAGTAAACTTTCGAGTTGTGTTTAATAATAGGCCTTTTCGATGACTCGCAAGAATGGCAAAAAACAGCAAGTCACTGGCCTATGCTGGCCTATACTGGCCGAAATGCACGCAAAACAATAAAAACTATTTTCTCTACCTCGGCCTCGGTATAGGTATGCTGGCCAAGCACATCGGCCAGTAAAACAAAAAGTTTACCAACGCAATAAGCGAATTATTGTGAACCTTCATTAGAAATTCTAATGAATATTGCAATCTTATGTCAAAAATTATATGTAAATAAAAATTCAAACAAAATTCAAAAATTTCTTAAATATGAAAATTGGAAAAAAAAAAAATTTCAGTGTTTAATTTTGAATTTAATTTTCAATTTATATTAATTATTTATTTTTATACACAATGTAATTTGCTTACATTATGCTATTTTTGTTATATGTCAAAACATAACACTTGGCAGATTGCAACAGTGATACCAAAGCTCGCGAAGCCAATATAGGTTAGGTTTTGCCATACTTGCGAGCCATACTTGCCATACTTGAGAAAAGGCCTAATAATAAATAATAATAGTTTTAGTTATAATAAAAAATTATATATAGTTACAATAACTATGAATAGATATGCTTAATTATAGGCGTTTTTGGTGACTCGCAAATGTGGCAAAAACAACAAGTTGCTGACCCATACTGGCTGAAATATATGCAAAACAACAATAAATTTTTTCTATCTAGGTTAATAGTTATATACTGGCCACACACTTCGACCAGTAGAGAAGAAAATGTTACAAACGCAATAAGCGAATTATTGTGAACTCTCATTTGAACTCTCCACTTATTTCCACTATTCCGTTACTATATGTCCACTACTATACGTTTCATTAAATATAAAATAAAATTAAAATAAAATTTTTTAACAATCGAATATACATTTGATTCGACATTACATTATTGGAAAATTTTTTTTTGTGTACAAACTGATCGGTAATCTAATTTACACTTATTTATGTTTTTATATTGTTTCGTTGTATGTGTCATATCTTCTTCGTATTCTATGTTGCCTACGTTTATATCAACTAATTCTGCTTATGCCAGCCATTTGCTGGACTTATGTTAAGAGATTTAAGAACTACAATATGGTTGGCAACCCTGTTTGTAAAATATTCGTTCGTATCATTAAAACTTTTGAGCGAAACTTGGTTTATTGCTTTAATAAGCTTTAACACTCACTCGAAGTTTAATTTTTTTATTGATAAGATTATTTTGAGTAATTTTCTTCAGATCTGATTTCTTCACTTTTGGATGAAATTTTTTACTCTATATTATTAGTAATTATAGAGGTAAATGTTCAATTTGTAATACAATAAGTAAATACGTGTTTCAATACCGATCTTTAACTCCATTAAAAGTTTCATTGCATTGGTACTGATATGCTGGATAATTTTCTGCATCCTATGGAGAAGTTCCTGCTAATTAGAACTATTTATAAAAACATATACATGTGTATATATTTATAACAGTCAATATTTTATTTGCAAACTGATTTAATTATGAACGTGTGGTCCGCTTTGTAGCCCAAGTAAAAGTGAACGTGCTCAGTTTTGTGAAGTTAAGAGCTATCAAAGCCAGACAGGACTTTTCCAGACAAACAAGATGATGTCCCGTTTGGTAGTAATCATGCGTTCGAATAATATCGCATGATTACTCCGTTAATGAAACTAAGCACAGGGACGGATTTGGAAGACGTAGGTGTTAACTTATATATAAAATTATAGGTATATATTTAATAGCTAATTGACTATATGTAAGGTATCAGATCATGTAAACAGAAATACATATTCGATCCTAGTTTACTAACACAGAATTTTTATTTATATACAAACTTTAGTCCCTGGAGTCTGACCTGTGCTAATACTGCAGATGGCGCTATGGAATCGTAACAAAATATCTTAAAATAAACTCAGGGTAAATATTTCCACGTCGCGTAAATAATTTTATTGGCTATATTATTTTTTCAGGTGAAATTTAGATAAAATTTCCAAATAATGTGCGATATAAAATTATAAATATTTAAAGCGGAATTGAATCGAAGTTAATTCAAACTTTAGTTATTTCTTTTATCCTTTTTGGGAATTTTTAGTTACAAAATCAAAACAACAAATTCGGGAGATGAATTTCAAAATTATTGCAAAATAATTGAGAATTTAACCAATAAAGTTTGTTGTATTTTAAAATATTTTTTTTACTTGTTTTTATTTTTGGATGGAAAATTACAATTTGCACTTGTCAAACTTTTATAATATCCTTGCAATCTAAAAAAGTTTTCCTGCTACACTAGTTTTCAGCGCTACAAACCCAGACAGTAGAAATTCGAATTCCTAAACGTCACACATCCAATGCCGACTGTCTCAGTATCGCGACATTTCGGACATTTCAAACTTAAATTGCACTATTCGGAGAATTACGGTTAAACGTAGAATAATTTAGTGTCGTATACTTAAAATCTCACTGAACTTGGACCAATATTTTTACTCTTAATGGGGTTGAAGTGGTGATCAAAACCGTTTTTATTTGATAATGACAATAGATAAACTTCAAAGGCATACTAAGCTCCCTAGTAAGGAACTGATTGTCAGAATGAGATTTCAGCTAGAAGTCTTTTACAGTCTGTTGGCTGAAATCTTCTTAACACGTTCCTAAGAGGTGGTTTTAGTGGACACAAGTCTCAAACTGTAGCTTTAGAGGCCTTCCAACTGCCGCAATAAAAATGTTAAATGTTCAAAATGAAAACGATCAGACTCAAAAAAAAAAAAATACTAAAAATGGCTATACAAATGAAAAGTTTCTATTATAAGTTAATACAAGTCTATTAAAAGACTTAAGCACTGTTTGGAAAGAATAATTGCGATGTTTGTGGGTTTTAATTGGTCAATTTGTTATATATAATTTTCAGATGATATATATCACTCATTAACTCTACCTTGGGACAACACTCAACACAATAAACTTCAGGGTTTTAAAAATGAACTCAGGGCGTGATCTTGTCATTCTTATATTCAACCGTTAATTTGTTTGTTTAGTTAATTGCTCGCTGAAGATCGACTTTTATATCCATATCTTTCTATGTTTATTTTCGATATTCGGCAAGGAAGTTTAGTTCTCGAAGCTGGAAACTATTCATTAGGTGGAATTTTCATTTCGACTGCATTGTTTCGTTTAGCTGGAGAAGACTGTACTTGTGCAAAAGGCTGTCAGCATACAATTACAATTGCAGGAACAGAGGACAACTCAAAACAAAATTTGTTAAAATATCAAAATTTTGACATTTGCACACATTTCAATGCCGTTCCACACAAACTATTTTATCGCATTTACAAATAATGTAAAATGCTTGTTAACATCCAGTGTAGCTCTGGCAGTTTGCTGTGCACTGTTGCTCTGTAGTGTTTGCGGTTTTCGCAAACTAGATTCTAGATACTAGATGCAATTGTCATAAAATATTTGCTCGACTATGAATTTCAAATAATTTCTGCTGACACGCAAACAAGGACGACAGCAGCAAATACCACAAGTGTCAAATTTAGAAAACATTTATGATAAATAAAAAATTTTGTCAAAATTAAACTAACTTAGTAAAATGCTTAAATGCAAGTATCTAAACCATTTGACATCCCAAATCCACAACTTAGAACGTTTGATGCCTCTGGCTAAATGCACTACAGCCACCCAGAAACCGCTAAAAGGTTTTATATGAACATGTGACGTACAGACTGCACTCTATCCACAGGATTAAATTACATATCACACATTTTTATTAATATTTCACATTTATTTATATTTATATAAAAGCATTTGCAGTTTATTTCAACCATTTTGCTTTTCTGAATTAACAACAGCGTCTGATCCCAAGACGTGTGGGTAAATGGTGTAAACGATTTGTGGTTCTTCCACAATTTCGCAGCTACTCTCCTCTGCATCCAAACTAGCATCACTGCATACTACACCTTCATCCTGTTCGTTAAACAGTGCTTTGGTATTGGGGTCTTGTACAAGCAGCATAGCCTGCTTAACTTTAGGCACTCCTGAGCGATTTACATATCTCTGAGCAATTCTCATGCCACCGCATTTACAACAATCTCCTAAAAACTTAGTGCTTGTTGTTGTGTCGGGAACCACTTGCACCACTTCTGCACCACCATTCTCCTTATAAACAACTTTGATTTTTTGCTCCTGCTCGCTTTTACGTTCCTTGTAGCGCTTGCAACACGCCCGCAGGCCGCACATCTCGTCTATGAGCTTCGTTTTGAAGAACATGAAATACTGTATGGTCTCCGCTAGAAAAGTGTAGAAGAGCGGATTTAACACACAACTTGTCAAGTTCATGATTCCGAAGCTGAAGTAAAGTATCCAATCTACTTTTGTGACATAGTCACCGTATATACGCATAATTAGGAAGATCCAAGCAGGGAGGCGAAAGGTCATGAAAATACCCATCATTATAAGGATAATAGTGAACATGCGAATGTGTCGGGACTCACGAGTTTTATTTTTGGTACTATAAGTAGGCGCATTAGTCTGCGGGGTGATTTTTTCGGGTCCATTAGCTAGGCTGCTCGGCATTGCTAAGCTGGCCGCATGCGACACGCGACAGTTGCAATTTTTATTTGGCGTCGTCGGACGTGCTTTAATGGAGTCTGCAGTGTTTTCCGATATCTCCAGGTTTGAAGGTATTTGTGCTTTCGATTTGTTTTTGGAAGTTTTCTTATTATTGTTTAGTTTATACTTGTGGGCGCGTGTAAAGGTTGGATGTCGACGAATCCAAATTTTCTTCGCAACTATCAAATTAAGCCAAACGAAAGCGGCTATGCAAGGCACAAAGATCAACGTGAAAACAATGACGTAATAGAGAGCAACGTCTTTCTAAAAACAAAACAAGATATATAAGAAAAATTAAAATTTAATAAAATTTTGCTTTAAATTTCAGATATGCGAACTTAATTTAAAGGTTGGGTTTTACTTTCTTTTTTTAATAATTCTCAAATTCTTTAAATTGTATTTTATTAAAATCTGAAATAATGGAACTAATGGTTAAATTGGTATAGTAGAAGACCTGCATATTTTTGAGAGGAAAGTTCTTTGTGTCTGTATTAACTACAAACCCAAGTCCAGTGGTTACTATTACGTAACAAGTGTCTTTTTCACTACTACTAAGGTGAAACGCATTATGGGTACCTATATTCCACCCTCCAGATATCTTTCGTACTAATGAATATGAAAGTATAATTATCTTCTATCATAATATCGTCCGGTCGAGTATTTTAACGTAATAATTTGGAGCGATATCTAGTTTAGGGTCATTTTCAATTATCGAATCAATAATTCCTCAGTGAACTTTATGATCAGGATCCGCATTGATGATTTTCTAGAATTAAAATTGTCATCATTCATTCAATAATTCAACCGATGCCATCTCTTCTATTGTGATTGCAAAAATTTTGAATAGTTTTTCAAGCTCTAAATTCTATATAAGTCTCCATTAAGAGTACGTCCATATATCACTAAATTTTTTCTTAAAAGGTTTAAGATACTTACAACAGGATGAGAACATAGTCGGCATTTTGTAGTTAGAGATTTATATTTGAAAGACATACAAATGTCCTGATAATTACTTTCCATGGTTTATGTAAGCATTATTAGATAAGTTAATAAGTGAAGAGGTTCAATTGATGAATGAGTAGTGATGTTGAGATGAACTTAAACAGACATGATTACGTTAATTATAGTACGAGGAGCATAATTAAATAGGATAAACATTATTTAAAGTCTAATAATGAAGCTATAAATTGTATAAAATATGTAAAATGTGGGTTTGTCTTTCGCCCATCAACGAACATTTTTCAGGGGCAAATGCAGTATTTGTGTATTTTTTGGAAAAGGTTTTGAGTGGAAACATTCATTTAAATGAAACTATGCTTATCGGCAAGTGTGACAACAACCCCAATTTCCGGCTATTCTAAATATAAATCACTTTTGAGAATTTAATACGTTTTTACAAGTAACCACTTATAGATAAACCTCAACAACCAACTGATAACAATGATGAGCACTGATAATTCGTGCGCGTTTAATAATAGCAGAGTAAAGACTTCTCAATAACGCTTAGCTGTTTCTCAAACACCAGTCAAAATTATTTAATTAACACGAATTATCCTATTTTATAGATGAATATTTAATCAATTTAATATATTCCTAAATAATAATGTCTAATAGCAGCAGGTTTCGTTTACCTACTTCTACTCAATTATTGATTATTGTCATGTACTTGCCTTATAAACCAGACACATTTTGACCAACAAGCCTTCTTCGAGCACAATGTGTTTAGGAGAGTCCATTCCGAAAGTATATTTCAATGCTGAACTTGTCATTTTTATTGCTGATGCCATTGTTGTTATCTCAGCATTTGCTGTTCTTATACTGGTGTCCGAACTTCTCGATGGTAATATAAGTATTCTGTAGGTATGGTATAAAAATGCTACCGGACATGCTATACCGAGTGCCACAACCCAAATTGCAATAATACAAGAGACGCAAAACACAACACTGGGTCTCCAACGACCAATGGCCGCCTTCAGAACAGCGCAATAACGATCCAAGGCAATGCCGACAAGTGTCATGCTACTGGCCAAAATGGCGGTGGTGGTGACGAAGGGTGTCAGTTGACACATGATATCTCCAAGGCGCTTAAAAAAATTATTAAAAATATTTTTAAAAATCTCCCAAATGTATATGCGATCAGTGCTCACCCATAGTTGCACGTACTTCGCAGTTATTTGCGTGAAATGAGTTGTCGTGAAGAAAACTGTACTCAGCAGATCGCTGACAGCTAAAGAAATCATACAAGCTCGGAAAAAAGGCCGAATTTTTCTTCGAAAATTGACGTAAAGTGTGCCGATGTTTCCACAAAGCGACAAAATGAACAGCACAGCCAGAATCGTCAGAAAAGCATTACGCTGAGTCATTGACAGTGTAACTAAATGGTTTTCGGTTATGTTAAAATCTGGCTTTGGACTTGTGGACTTGTCATTTATGGATAGTTTGGGTGCCCCACTAGTTAAGTTCAGAAAGTCTGGTACTTCAATGTGAGGCAGCATGTGTTCCAGCAGAAAATCCATTTAGTTTCAAAAGCACACGAAAATGCTTACAATCCGACTGATGATTATTTATGGCGCACACAATTCTTTTACTCTTTTAATAATGAATATCATTAATTCATGCTTTGATTGATTATTTTATGTATATTTGAAAAACAGTAAATTGAATGGATTAATTGTTCGCGATGTAAACTTTTCCGATTAGCCAAAAACTATGCTTTTATTTTTTCCTTTTACTTGTACTACGACGCCGATACCGTTAACCCTTGAATGACTCTCAGACAACTGCTCCCAACTGACTGAACTAATTTTGAATGCCTTGGAATAATTTATAGAAAAATTCATGTTTTTCATAATAAATTTCTGCAGATATTTGTCATGCTGAGCACTTCAGCAGGGCTTTTATCATTTTCAGCTTGTTTTCATGTAAACAAACGCAGTTATTATTAAGCTAACATTAGATTAGCCGCAGTTTATCGCAACAGTTGGGGAAATATTCCTGCTGCTTCAATTACTTCGACTGCAGTCTGGGTAAGTACTCGTGTGTTTTGTTCTGCTATCTAATGAAGAATAGTTCATGAATTTAATTGTTGTTGTTGCGCATTTTGCTTATTGTATTTTGATTGTCGAACTTGTATTCATCGGTTTAGTTATTCATTATTAATTAGTTTCAGGGCAACATATCTTTCAATTTCGCTTGTTTTTAGTATTGGATTTTGATTAGTTTTCAATATAAATTATATTAATTAATGTACATATGTTAGGAAATCTCTTGTACATGCTTACAGAAAGTTAAAAACTCATCGTTCAATTTTACAAAAATATAATTTTTCCTATTAATTTGTATATTCTCTCTCCTTATTACACAAATTGTAGAACAAAAAAAGTTAGTTTAGGTTGAAGTGACAGCTTAATGCATCAAAGTTTACTTAAACATTAGTATAAGCCACGGTGGTAGAATTACTTTAAAGTAGTTGTCACAAACAGCCGATGCACGAAGAGCTTCCTTTTGAAAAGACACAAGTAAGTTTCAAAAGTAAAGTATTAAATTAAAATAAAAGAAAATCAGTCTGACAGGTGTATAAATTTATCTATGACATTCATTTTAAAAGATGACAGCTTTGTCAGGTGATATACAAAAGGAGTCTTAAAAATGTCGAATATTCTTCTTGCCAATGGTGTAAACTAAAACATAAGGGGAAGTATAACTTCCTTTTCATCCGCAGAGCCACAACCTCGACGAAAGGCATTGGAGGGTAAATCAATCTACATGCATACCTTTAAAATATATAATCACATAAATTAGTTCCGTTTTAGTTTAAACGATTGACTGATATGATCTGACAAGAAACTTCATCTACCCAAGCTTTTCTTGCTAACCCAATATATATATGTTTGATTGCCGGTTTAACCATTGCAAAAGGAATACCAACATGAGGGAATCTGAAATATCGGAGAGCAACATGCCTGCAATCATAAGTTCGTTGGCCGAGATATATTTGTGTCGAGGTATCCATGTGAGTTGGATACCGGGAAGATCATGCAACTCATTAAGAGAATTTCGGTATTGTGGAACTACAAAGGAGGCAGTTTTAAAATCGATCAGAGATTTAATTGCAGCTTGACTGTCCGTAATTATTGTGAGACTTATGTGAGAGACTGTATGGCTCAGGATCTACTATGCTGCTTAGTATAACCCATACCTCTATCTGCAGTGGTCAGACAATCGAAGGGAGATGCAAAGACCCACTTCGTTTGAAAAGCTTTCATTGCCGAATCTCCCAATTACTTTGAAGAGGTCAAAGAGTAAAAAAATAAATAAATGAAAAACTTATGGCTCCCAAATAATCACAATACTCTATGCGGTCACAAAACTTGAAGCAACGATATTGCAATTATCAAATACTCCATATACTTGAAAAATGAACTAATCGTTACAAACATTGCATTAAACTTCATTATAAGAAACTCAATTTATTGGACGTTGTTTGACAACCAATGTCTGTATCTAACTTCCCATGATTCGATTTTTTTATATTTCTCTAACAAAATATAAACTTGTTTTCGCTTAAAAGACAGAACAATAAGGAAATTGCATTAGAATTTTGAATAAATGCAGCAAATATGCAAATATGAAAACTATAGAAAAAAGTAGATGGGACTTCAGATCATGAAATGCTGTATTGATTTGAAAGTCTGGATATGAAAAGATCTTTTAAATATTTTAGTTGGAGTGATAAGAAGCTTAATAATCGAAATAATATATCAAAAATATTAAAACAATATTCTTAGTATAAATAAAATCAAACAAAAAGGCTTGAAACCTAAAAGCACTTCCACTGGAGAACTTCACAACAATGTTGCTTCTCAAAAATCTGAACTCAAAGGATATTTAAAGAATATTTAACACTTTGTTGCAATTAATTTAATTAAAAACATCAGTGACCTGGATATGGTGCAATTACAAACCTTAGAAAAGAACGGTTCCGAGTCTTTGACGGCATTATAGCGCCAAAATTCCTAATAGAATTTTACGCAATTTAATTTTGTGTGCAAAAGTAAACAGCTTTTTGCATGCAGGAGTCGTATTTCGATTTCAATTCCGATTGCCGGTCCCCCGCCTCCCGACGTCAAGTGCCTTTCTATTTGCAAAAGCGCATGCAACAAATGCTTTAATTGCATTACAGATGTTGCAGCAATCAGTGCAGGCGAAATTAGTTGCAAAAACAACACACCAACGGCGCTAATAACGGCGTTCATATTTTCATTAAAAATGGCGTAATCACACAAAATGACGGCTCCATTTGCATAAACCAGTGTGTGTGTGTATTGGTGTGTTGGTGTATTGCTGTTAGTAATTTGTTCCGTTAACACACACACGGTGTAAGTGTACACACACACATACAGTGGTTGTAAGTGTAGTTCGTAGGTGTACGCGGTTTTGCGTGAATTTCATTTAATTATTGTGCAAATTAGTCAAATTGTTTCATGCACGAGAATCGTAGCATAACCTTAGGCGTGCGAATAAAATTGATGATTTCCAAAGTGATTTTTTCGCACTGCATTTGTCGACGCGTGATTGAGTGAATTTTAATGCTTTCATTATAGAATTGCAACTCATTTGCAACACGAATTTCTCTATAAATCGGTAAAAGTAAAGGAAAAATTTTTATACTAATATTTAAAGCCAAAGTAAAGGCATTCCATTCGGTTTTGGCCAAATAAAAAATAATATTCATTATATTTTATTTATTTCGGTTTATCAATACTGTATGTTGAAATTAAATAGTGTTTGATTGACAGTTAAATAAATAACATTTGAATTATTTTGTAAATATTCGTTTGCAATAATTTGCGTTAGCCATATGTTAATATATAAATAAAAAGTGCGTCTCTTGGATGAACAGAAGGGTAAGCACTACAAAATTTCGATCAATTCAGATTTCCTTCAAACCATTGCAGTTGTCTTTTTACTATAACAAAGGAAACCCTTTTTTTAATAAAATTTAATTATATTGGAAGCTTTAAAAAATAAAAATTTGTATTATATACGAAACTACAATGTTGATAAAGTAATTCTGGGTAGGAAAAAGAAATGGAATCTACTTTGGATCTGGCGTCAGGATCCTTGCCACCGAAATGAAAATGTTAAAAAGTTTAATTGAAGTTAGAAAGATAACTGACATATAAGATTATATGTAGAGCATAAAAAATATCTTGAAGGCATTAGTCACATTATCTAGCTATTTAAAATATGACTACATCTTTAATTTTTATTACTTTGTTATATATTATTGTATAATATAGTATATTACGAGTTTGTTACTTACTTAAAGTACTTGCAAAATTAAAAACTCGATTTTATATTACATATTTTGAATATTTATTTCATATTACCGCAGAATAAAATTTTTATCGAATTTTCTTTTACTGGAAACATGGAAATTTTTGAATAAATTTAAATTTTATCGCATCATTGCATTTGTAATATATATTAAATTTATTGTTATTAATTCTTGTAATTCTTGTAAAACACAAGTTTTCGTTATACAGTTAAATGCTTTAATAAATATTTTGTTGACTTATTTAATAATTTATTTAATCAAGTATAGCAAAATACGAACACTTTATTGTCGAGTTGTTAGTAACCTTAAATTGACAAATTTGTAGGCCCACATTTTAAGCTCATATTTGGCTTATTAAAGAAAAAAATTTCATAAGTTTTCATATATCTAAAATAAAAAATCTAAACTAGCTAAAAACTAAACTCTAATTTGAACAAAAAAGAAGTTTTATAATAAATTTAAAGCTATTTCAGCACTGAGACTACGTAACACACACACGTCAGACACACAAATTCAAATTATTATAAATACAACTACAAATACGAAAATTTATACATAAATTAAAGCAAAATTGACTTAAGACTGAATCTTAAATAATTAATGATTTGTAATTAATGTTAATACGAAAACATTTTAAATAAAATAACAAGGAATTTAAACTGTTTTAGCTGCGCGCCAGCAATTTTGCGCGCACAAAATGCTGCAATAATTTTTGTTAAATATGAAGCATCAGAAGCTCGAAGGGTTTTGTTATTTAGAGGAAATATTACTTTTATACAGAGTTTTTATAATAAAATGCACTTAAGACTATGGCAAGCTTGTTGTGAATATATGCGGAGCTCATATTAATTGTTCCACCGACCACATTTATGCTGCTATTGAAGATTTGGCTCTGAGTTCAGATAGTGTAGCTCTGCGATTTTCAGTAATTGAAATATTTTCGTAGTATGACTCTGAGGAATCCAAAAGTTCATCATCGCAGTTCGATCCCATTTTTACTTTAAGCGATTGATAAGGTAGCGGTTTACCGTCACTTAAGTTGGCTGTAACATAGATTAAGTAGTTTTCACCGGGTTCTAGATTTCTGATCGTATATGACTCTATCATTGGTGGGCTAGAAGTTTTTTACATATTGTAGAAAAAATTGCTATAGTGAAAAAATTGTTAACTTACTTCTTTTCCTTTTCGTTGCATGTAACTAAATAGAAATATCTGTGGTGCTTTACACGTTTGCCAAAGTCCATGCAATAATCCGTATGGTCTATTGGTAAACGATTGTTTTGTGGGAAATGAAAGACAATAATGCAGTAACTACAAAAAGATAAGATATTTTACTTAGTGATGGCATTACATAAAACTATTAGAAGATATTATGTATAAAATTTAAAATAAAATAACATTTCTGATATTCGCAGACCCTATCTGTACTTAAACATTTCAATCACAGTTTCGCTAAATTGGATATAAACACCAGATCAACATCATATTCAGATTGTGGTTTCAAAAGTGATAGTGATAGTGACTTGCGATTGAAAAACTTTCATTTAAATATGCTGGTTGGATCTTGCCATTTGATGTAAAATACAATATCGGTATATGGCCGGTAATATCTTGGTCATCACTTGACAAAAGTTCATTTTCAAAGCATTGAGAGTTTGAGGACTCTTCACATAAGCAGTATCCTAAACAAGAATAATATTGCAGAAAGCAAAAAAGCTACAAAAGGTCAGATGAAGCTTTAGCACTGTATTGTTGAAATCACATATCTTCAACATCGATACCATAAATTTCAAATCAAAAAAAGTTGATACTCACATTGACGATTTGAGTCACGATTATGACATATTATGTATTAATTATGTACTTAATTGTCTAATACTTACATTGTGAACGTAGAGTGTTTCGTAGAGTGTATATACCAAGTTATGTTTTGCTTACCTCATTGTTCGTATTTCCGGTGAACTGTACCACGCAATTGTAGTTGAATTGCAGCGCGTGCGTGCTTCAAATACCGTCATATTATGGGGCAACTCTGGCAGATACGTGAAAACATCACTTGTGGTGACAGCAAGCTTGAAGTAAAGAAACAAATTATTATGGAATAAATTCAAATCTAATATAAAAATGATAAATTCCTTCCAGTGGATCTGATCCGTCTTGAAAACCACTTAGTTGATATTTGAAGATTAACATAAATATATGATCTAAATTGAATTTATTTAAATATTCTTCTCATATAAACCTCATATATATTAGTTAAAATATTCTGCAGGTCGCAATATAATATGTTCTTAACGGAAAAACAGTACACATATAATCAAGGGAAACTAAAAGCACAAATGCGTCTATTTCCAATTTGTACTTTAACAGTAACTCAACTTCCGTAATGTTCATCTCTATTCCTATCCTAATATACCCACCAATTTGTGCCCAAATAATCTATTCTACTAAAGTGACTTGTTTTCTCTTACTTGATCTAGGCTAGCTTCACTAAAAAAAACGCAATCATCCATTATCTAGTCATATTACCAAAAAACCTGGTTCTCTTTCGTACTTTCCTTCACCTAACTATGTCCATACCCAACCCATATATCAATCTATTCAATTCCATCCATGTTAACTAATGGAAACAAAATATACTATGTGAACTCACCCCAACTTTACTCGCTCTTAACATCTCGTCAACATTACTGGGTGAGAACCGTATTACGTATCTCTGATCTGGGTGCACTTCTGGCACTTTTATATATGTGGGCTGATAAATGCTCTGCACATTCCCAACCTCCGTGCCATTTGTTTTGATTTTTGCGTTTATCTCAGAGCCTCCGCAAGGTACGATTAAGTAGCGTAAGTGCTGTTTGGCTGATTGTCGATAACTGAATGGACTTCGTCGAGGAATCTAGTTGAAAACATCAAAAATTGATATACTCTAATATAGCAAGGAACCACACAAGCTGTTACAATTTGCCACACCTTAAAACTGAATACCTGCACTCCATGCGCTCCATTTATTTTCTCCATGCTTAGTAAGTTGCTGCGTAAAGTGGTCGGATGTGTGCGTGTAAAGTGGACCTTGGTGGCAGCAATATGAAACGTCAGATTTTGTTGCTTCGTATGCACGCCGAACAGGTCCAAAAAGTAAATGCGATTCGGTACAACGGCCCTGATCGTCTGCTGCGTACGATTACCAGTGCAAATAATATTTGTTATGTAAGTATCTGAGGAGTCTGTGTATGGCATACTAGATCAATAGAGGCCCCATTTACATAAAGAACTATGAAATACTCACCAATCGCTCTAACGCGTTCCGGCGGCCTCAGCCATATATAATCCATGACAGAGCCCGGAAAGCAAGTGGCTTTGTTACGCGCCTCACTTTTTATGTGCTCATTGACCGCATTGCAGAAGTGTTTGTGCGGTTGTCGCGTACTTATGACGAGGCAGTAGTGCATGGCGTAAAAATCGAATTTACTGCAGCCGGAAATAGGCACGAGGGAGGTGCAAGAAATTTAAATTAAAATGAAATCTTCAAACTGAGCTTAATAGCTTTACCTCTTGTTCCACTTGACAATCATCTGGCGCTTACGTACGCGGTTCTGTGTGCGGATGCTGACGCGATTGGTGCGATTCAGCAGCGGCCAATTCGATTGCGGATGTGCGGCGTGCGCTTCGATTTTAATTGCGCCGCTATGCTTCGCCAGTATGAATAAATCGTATTGGCCACGCAGCGCGCAATGTAGAAGCAACGTGCGTTGATCTGGCTTCAGGGCGCGTGATAAATTAGCTGTCAAACGTAACGGAAACGGAAGTAAATGAGTTTTAATTTATTTTCGCTTTTTTTAAAGTGTTTTTCTGTGTATAAAAAAATGGATTCTGGCCCAAACTGGCTTACTCACTTGTTTCATTGAAGTAGAGTTTTCGCGCCACATTTTGCGAAAAATTTATGGTCAACGGCGTGGATGAGTTGAGGAACAGCACAAATCTGGAAAAGAAAAATGGCGGAAATTAATGCAATGCTCCTGCTTCTGTTGCACAAAGTGCAGTTTGATTAAGAAGAACGAAGGTGGAATTAAGCAAAAGACAATTACGAAAATAAAATAAGAAAAAAAACACGAAAGGAAAGCCAAAGAAATATTAATTTTAGAAATAAAAATTTTTATTCTCCTTTGTCGTATTCGAGAGTTTTTCAGAGCTTTCCATGGTAATTAAACAAAGTTATGAATGCAAATTGAAAAACTGAAGAAAGAGAATTCGCAATAGTTTGCCCTCTAATTAACATAATTGGGAAATCTGTTAATGTCTACTTCCCTGAAAAATTGCAAAATAATATTTATTTTCAAAATTTTTCTGTCTATTCGCTTTGGCAACGGAGGTGGTTGAATAAAGCCTTTAAATGCATTTAAAATAATTGAAAGATGGCTTCTTTACTTCGTGCATAAACATGATTACTTTCAAAAAATAATAATATGATCAACAAAGATGCTTCTACGATGGTTCGACGCATCTAGGCTCCATTAATATTGAAGCACACTGTACAACCATGGCTTAAATTAAGGATTAAAATGCTTTATCACAACAGCAAGAGGGTGTTCTCAAATAGGTAGATAGATAGTTAGGTTGGATTGGCCTCAAATAGGAGTACTATAATCTTACTTGCTGCGCCTCGTGATAGATAAGCTTTATGAACTTATATTACGCTGCGATTTTGAGCTCCAAACCTACACATAAATAGCATTGCAAGAGGAAACTCTGATTAAACTATAAATGAAGAGACTGAATTAGTTTGAATTGTTTCATCAAAATGATGCAGAAAAAAAGTTACAATTTTGTCAAACACAAATAAAAAATCTATGTAGATGGTTAACTTCAAGGAAGTTCAATACCAGCACCATAGGAACGTAAGTATATTTGAATTACTTTTTACAAAAGGTAAAACACTTTAGAGATGGACATAAAAACGTTAGTAATATTATATATTAGTGTAGTCAGGAATTTTTAAAATCTCCCCGATCTTAGAGCACCGATCCAAGCTCACCGAAGTCCCATTCAATCTAACTGTTTATACTAATTTAAAATAAATGGTGTAAATATTGTAGATTACCGAATGAAAGATTATTTCTGCCCTCCACGTTTGTTCGAATTTAATCATCAATAAAACTTGATGGTTAGATTTTTCTTATTAAATGGCTTCAACGGTATTGAAATTATTCGTTTCTTTATTCAAAATTTATCCTATCGGTAATTGCCAAGTTTTCAGGTACTTAAATATGCATAACCGTAAGGCAACTAGCATTTGTTTTCCCCTCAACTAACTGAAACATGAATAAAATGAAGCTATTAAAATTTTATGATAAAAGTGGCGCCATAGCACAATTCCACTTCAGCAGAAGCTCTTAAATCACACAAGGATGCGCACTGCATCGAAGTAATAAAATCCAAAGCCATTATTGTTGCATGGGTTAAGGGCAAAAATTAGATAAAGATGTGCATTTTGGTCCTGTGAAACAGTTTAGCGCTGCTTGGGTGACTGGGATGCGCGCCGTTGACTCCACAGATGTCAAAATAGAGAAGAAAGGAATCGGAAAAAAGGAAAAGGGAACGCAACGCAACTTAGCCTAATGGTTGGCAATAATTTCCTTTTATTTATTTGACGTCCTGTTAAACATGCTACTCCAGACGCTCATGGAATTCATGAGTTTCTATTTCGTTAGCTAAAAAGCACACTAATTCATAAAACTCACTGAGTACACTAGAGCAGCTGCAAATATTTTAAGCACCAAAACTGTGTGGCCTTATCCTCTTGTTCCTAGTAATAGTTGTAGTAGTACGTCTTTTGTCCATTCGAATATGTAACATTGTTTGGTTTGTTAATGGTAGCAATTCCACCAGTAACAGAAGCCAAATAAAATTTTCCTTTTTATTGCTTTTTGTCCTTGGCAAAGGATAACGTTAGACATATCTGTTTTTATAATTGCTCGGTTAGAGTTAAACGGTATAAAACAGCTTAAATGGCGACATTTCTCTGCAAGCATTGCAGGCTGAGTATGCACTCTGGAATTTCGGTACTGCGTTTCGAAGCACTCAAGTAACCCAACAGTGGACGCGGGCATGGCTTAGATTGGTAATGGAGAAGCCCTTCAACAGCATGCAATTTAGACATTTACCAAGTACAATTAAAAAGTGAAAGAAGTTGCAAAAACCACTTCTTTTTGCGTCTGCGAGAGTTTTGGATAGTTTTGAGTTTTGTTGCATCTCAACTCAATACGTCGACTACATTTTGAAAAATTGCAGAAGCTTTTCGGCGGATTTGTTCCTTGAATTTAATTGATGCTATTGCCTGATGTTTATATTTCCATCTTGATATGAGTGACAGTTAGTTGTCATCAACACTTCCTTTAAATTTGAACACTTCAAAGCGGCACGAATCGCATGAAAGTGTGAAGCAGGAATGGATTGCACTTAACAAGTCGCACACTTGACAATTTACGCAACTATGTTGCACTCAATGTCACTGTGATGTCGCACATTTTCTCGGTACTGTAAACTACTCGGTCGCAAATTTATATATAAAAGAGGAAGTAATCATTAGCAGATCATCTATGTAAACAGTCGCTCTAAATCATTTCATCTATTAAGTCAAATATTTAATAGGTTAAAAATTTTTTCAAGCAGTTCCAAAGTAGATTTTACAACTGATCTTAACGAGAAAAATCGTTTATCAAATATTACTTAAATGCATTCATCCTATGTCCTTTTGGTTTAAAAATAAATGAGGATATTCCTTACTATCAGTGGCAGTTTTGTAAGTAGCTTAGCGAATAGACAGGTCCAAAACAAGCAATAATCAAACAATACTTTATATATAGACTTGGTCTCATCGGTTAAGACTATTCTTTTGTTGTTGTTTTTAGTTACGGAGTATTGTGGTCAATTAATGACTTCTCCTAATTCAAAAACGAAAAAATAGAATAGTTTTTTTTAAATAACGTCAAAGAAATTTAAAAAATTTATTAATTTTAATTTCAATTTTATTACATCGCCAATTTCAGCATCTCATTTTTTTTATAACCCGAATCAGGCGTCTTATATTTACAAAAATATGGCAACCCCAAAAAATTTAGTAAACTACTTCAGTATCATAGTGAACTCATATTAGCATGAATAGTTTCGATATCATTTCATTTTAGTTCCCAACTTCAGCTTTTAAATAACACCGGAAAGTTTCTGTGATTTTTATTAGTTTATTTAAAACGGGTTTTTAAAATACTTGACTAGTGCTATATTGCGCATTATATTAACGTTTCTTTCATAAATTGAAATACTTTTATTCAAGCTAGGTACTTCTCTATAACTACCAAAACATTACCTAGTGTAGGGTGGTGTGAATATATAATATATGAAAAAATCAAAAACTCTTTAAAAATTATTTATTATTTCATTTAAATAAATTATAAAAGAGTTAATCTTTTATTTAAACTACTAAATTATTAATGTATTTGAAATGAAGAACGTACAAGGATTCATCGAATCCGTGCTAGCAACGCAATCACATTCTCCATGTCAATATTCTCTTGAATAACTCTATTCTTATTTTGAGAAACTTCATTCTCAATTAAAACAAAATCATCAACTTGTTTCCAATTGTACAGTCGTACCCACTCAATTATCTCAGCATCTAGATAAAATATTTAAACCATGAGTAACTTGAACTAACATTTACGTTTACTGAAGTATACCTTCAATGTTTCCCAAAAGCAAATTCAAAGTCGACTTGTTAATCTTATTAAAGGTCAAATCCACAAGATAGCAAATGTAGCGTCTGATTGCATCAAAAAACCCTTTAATATTACAGAACATAGCAGGTAGTTCGTAAGCCAGTTGCCAAAATGCCGGAAAATCTGCAGACTCCAAGAACTCAGACATATCAAGAATCACCCGAACTGTCAAATCATTCATTTGCTGTGGCAGCAAAAGGGCTTTTGCAATTGAAAAATCCGGGCGCGGCATCTTAGTAAGACATTTCAGTAGAATCGTGTACGAAATATCATGATTAACCAAGTGAGGGTAGAACTTGTATAACTGTAAGAGTGCTAAATAAGCTTCTAAGTTGTAGGATTCGTCAGAGGCTTGCTTCTTAACATATTGCTCCAAGAACTCCTTGTTTGCTGGATTGTATCTAGGCAAAAATAAAATAGTTTCTTAATATTTTTTCCTTCATTCAAAGACGTCTATTTACACATACTTTTCTATACCGTTGAGTACATCTGTAATGCTTTGAGCACTATCATTTTCTTTAAATACTTTCGACATTTTTTACTCTCCGATTTTTGTGAAAAACAACGTACCGAGAAAAATTCGAAATGGAAATAAATGAAAAACGACTTAATTTTATATCTGAAATTGACATACAAATATAAAATATTTCAAAGCGTGCTGAGATGTATGTTTTTTTATATTCACTAATCCCAAAAATTATTCAAAATTACTTAGGTAATATATGTAACATATACTCTCTTATTACATATTATGTTACCATTAAGTACATGGCTGTTCACAAATACTTATTATTCTTTAAGTACCGCTTATAGCATATAACATACTTAATTGCAATTCGAAACTTATAGCGTCCTTTACAGTCTATAAAAAATACTGTATAGAAACAAGTCGCATTTTTTGTGCGCTACGCTCTATCTATAAGCGCCAATACATAGACCATTAATGTTTATAATGTTTATAATATTATTTCATTATTGCATATGAATTTAACAAAAAATAATTAACAATGATTAGTTGTATTTCCCATTCCAAGTTTTGAGATAAATACGTCAAAACAGCAATTTTTTTTGTCTTCATAATGAAGATTGCTACCTTGAAGCGCTATAACGTTACGTATTTTGGGAAACACAAAAAAAACTGAAGTCGCGATTCACATCAGGTCGAAACATATATTCAAATGAGATGAGAATACTGCCAGCGTAATATTAGAAAATACTTAACGAGTTTCCCTATGATCGCATTGTTCCGCGATACTGGAGACCCATGCTACCCCTCAGCAAATAAAGCTGTGCGTCTTATATGGTTGGTTGTTAGCTCAGAATATATTTTATAATCGCAATATTCCACTATACTATATTATGCTGCATAGTACAGTTCTTGAGCATAATACTTAATAATGAAATGTAGAATGAGTTTTGCTACCATTCAACTTCTACAACTTAGAAGCATTTGGTTACCAAGTTTTTACCCCAAAAAATTAAAAAATTCTTGATAAGAAAAATTTTTATTCAAAATATTCAAATTGAGGATAACAGAGATTTATTCAATATGTGTCAATAAAGTAATAACGTCATCCAAGCCAATATCGTTTAGAACAACCTCATTTTCATTTTGGGTGGCTGCGTTCATTTCAACCATGTTGTCAACTAGCTTCCAATTGTTCTTTTTTATCCAAATTATTAACTCAGCATCTATATCGAATTTTAGAGCAATTAGACAACTTGCAAAAGTTTTAGTTTAAAGAAATTACCGTCAATGTTTCCCAAAAGCAAATTCAAAGTCGACTTGTTAATTTTTTTAAAAGTCAAGCCCACAAGAACGCAAATGTGACGTCTGATTGCATCAAAAAACCCTTTAACGTTGACAAACATAGCCGGTATTTCATATGCTAATTTCCAAAAAGCTGGAAAATCTGCAGACTCCAAGTACTCCGACATATGAAATATTACTTTTACAGTCAAATCATTCAATTGCTGTGGCAGCAGAAGAGCCTTCGCAATTGAAAAATCCGCGCGTTGAATCTGAGAGAGACATTTCAGTAGAATCATATATGAAATATCATTGTTAACCATTTTAGGGTAGAACTTGTATAGTTGTAAGAGCGACAAATAAGCTTCCAAGTCATAGGATTCATCGGCGGATTGACTTTGAACGTATTCTTCCAAAGCAGCTTTATTTGCCGGATTGTATCTAAAAAATTGAATGAAAATACACCGTTCTTTATTATTATTTTCTCGCCTTGTATGAACACTTGTCTGCATACTTTTCAATGCTGTTGATTATATCCTTGATATTAGCAACAGCAGTGGTCTTTGCCTTAAATACTTCCAATTTGGCCATTCTTTTCAGCAAATACAATTTTCTTAACACGTGTTTGAGATGTAACGCACTAACCGGTACGAACGAAAATGGACTGAGAAAGTGAAAAACGTGGCTTGGGATAAATTCGAAAAATACTTTTCAGTGTTGTAAAGTTGCCTTTTAATAATATTGAATGTTCATCAAATGGACTGATGCGCGTCAATTGTAACATTATTTATTAATCTATTTACGTAAGTAATTTAAAAGTTCACTACGTAATATATTGACATAGTTTGGATTTAAGTTGAAGATGTTTTCAGGAAAAACGTAATAAGAACTAGATGGAAAAGATGATATTACTGCTCATGAGTTCTTTTATGATATACAATTAATGTTTGGGAATCTAATACACCATGTTTCCACTGCAGCTAAATCAATTTATGGTAATCAAATTAAGAATTGTTCGTTCCGATTTGGAATTAATTTATGCATTTAAAAGTTCTGTGAAAGCTCTAGTAGAGCTTTTGTTTGTTTACATTTCAGTTGATATCCAACCAAAACGAATATTTTTTGTTACATAAAATATGATATTATATGATGACATTCAATATATATTTAATATATAAACTCATTTATATATTTTTTTATGTATATTATATAATTTGTTTATAAAATATAAATATTTTAATAATTTCTTCACTTTTGTTTGTTTGACTTGTTTGTTTTTTGGTAATTTATATTATGTCACATGTGGCAAATATGTAAAATTTCTATTATTTCCCTTTTGGGAAATATATTTTGCAATGGTACTTTCGACATTTTTGGTGTAATTTTCCTTTGCTTTATTCTTAACTAAGTTAAAACAATCGAAAGCTCTTTGTACGGTTAATTAAATGAGCGGTTTAAATCAAATAAACTACTTGAACTAAGGCAATGGGAACATACAACTAGTTTTGAAGTCCGCTGTTTATATTCAGAAATAAATAATATAAATAATAGAATGACTAGTAGAAGATATTTAATGAAAAACAACTGTTACATAGAGATGCATCTTTCGACTCCTTTTCCTTGAGGCATATTTTTCAAAAAAAATATTTAGAAAATTATCTAGAACTCACCTTTAGGCACATAATATGCTTTGTGCTATTCAAACTTAAAATTTCTCATGGTAAGAGCCTAAAGTGTGAAAGGTATTATTTCATTTCGGAAATTAAAGAACGTATCAAATTAACTTAATTCTTACGTTTTCCATAATTCGTAAATCAGCACGAAAAAAGAATACATTGCTTTTTATAAGGTTGAATGAGTCAGCTGATTCCTAACGGTGCAACCAACTCTAAATCCGTCCCGTTCCATCTTATGGAGAACATGCATTTGCTTATTCATGTCGAAATAAATGAGAATGTAGGCGAAATTTTATATCAACTTATGCAAAAATTGAGCAATTTCTTTGGGTGTTAACTATTTGGAATCGGATTGAACTTTTTGTGCTTTTACAATTTGTTTTACGATGTGTGTACTCTGTCATTGCTAAACACTATATTCTTCCTTTTAGCATATTGCCATTTTAAGTTTCTACGTTCGCTACATCTGTCAACTAGTCTAGGCTTTAACTGGCGCCTACACTACACCTGGCGCGATTTTATATTCGAAAATAATACCAACTCGCATTCGAACATAAAAATCTGGGCAAAATCTAGCTAGTATAGATGCGTTTATATTGCATATTTCCTCTTAGAACAGCTATAGTAACAATTTCTGTGACAATGCGAGACTGATTTTGTTCTGGCAATAATTCTGCTCACATATGTTAAGGGAGAGTTGAGCACAAAGAGGAAAAGCTATAATTTTTTAGTAAAAACGCAAGAGTATTTTATCAAGAACACTAAATATGGCATTTAGTGTTCTTGCTTTTATGGTTTACTGCCGCGAGAAGGCTGTAAGAGAGCTTGAAAATAACGCACACATGCACAAAAACCACGACTTCAGAGGGTTGTGGAGTTAATGAACAATAATGAGCGTAGTGTAAAGTGTATATAGGATATGATCATTGATAATATTGATCTTATTTTTATTAAATCATTTGATTATTTTTAGAATGATTAGCAAATTATCTGAAGCAATCAGAACATTTCATTATTTTAAAGCTCAACATATACTCTTAGTAAGTTTTAATAGAAGAAATTTAACATAACAGAGATCATGTCATTGGACTGCAAACACCAGTGAAAACAACAAATCACCATAATTCAAAAAATCTTTAATAAAAACTCAAATTAAATCTAGCGACATCCATTTTCTGGGTTTTGGAAGTTTTAATGGTATCTTGACTTCTGCAAGGAAATTAAGAAGATGTAATCCCAACGCCAAAAAAAGGGGAGCAATAGTGGAATTTGCGTGGAAACAGGAAGTTGAGAGCAATAAAAATTATTTAAAAGATGCTGGCGACACTTGAAGTAGCAATATTAAAAATTGCAGTTTGAAATCTTCAAAGACGAAAGGATAAATTAATGTATGGGACGAGTCTCACTTGGCGAAGTTAAGTTTATTAAACCAAAGGAAAGAGGGAGTTAAGCCAGCGATATTCTATCAAATATTCTTTTGAATTATTCTTCAAGGAACCCACTGTGAACCATACGAAAGTATGTTTGTTTTGTAGAAGCACAAAATGGCGTATAAAAATTCACTTCCGCTGCTGCGTTGTAGTTGACATTTTTTATATTGTTTTTCCTAAGATTTTAATGGCTTCTGTTGTGTTTGTGCTTCTGTTTTCCGTTAGGCACTAAAACAATATTTAAAGATGTTTTTGTAGTTTGCTTATTTGATTTATGTTTCCATACGTCCTCCGAACTTGCTTCCTCTTATTGTGTCTTAGGAGGCTTACCTCCTTTGTCTCCGTTTGTGTAGGTTGGGTGTCATTACGAATTGCGCTCGTAAATTCCACTTTAATTGCATACAAAGTTGCCATTTGTTTAACGATTTCCGTTTAAAGCGCATAAATTTAAAATTTAAACGATAAGAACTTGTCACGAAATAAAGGTTTCTTTCATTACTCTTAAAAGCCATTTCAGTACTGTACCATCGCCGAGCTTATTTCAGTAATTTCTGTAACTTGTAAATTTTTGCTGATATTTTATGTTAATATTAAGATACCGAATATCAAAATTATATCATTGATCTTTTTTTTATTTCGTCAAGTAGAAAAGTACGTGCGACTGAAACATCACATCCACAGCGTAGTATAGAGCCAAAGTCTATTCAGCGTTACCTACTGAGTCCATACCAAAAGAGACTATATTGATTATTATCAGAAATTTACTTTGGGGTCTTTTGGATAGATTCAATAATTTAAAAATAAATCCATTAATAGTGTATATAATTATGTATAAATTTCGTTTTAAATTCATATCGGTAGAAGCTTCAGCCCCTCCAGACAGAATAGATACGTGAGTGGTCAAACAAATATCCATCAGCACTGCATACTAACACGGCTGTTGCTGATTAAAGTGATATTAAAATATATAAATGTATTGATCAGTTTAAATATATAATCGCCAGGAACTAGCTATTTATGCGATTAAACCATATTCGTATATATAACGAATATACATAGTGCTCTGAATCTAATTTAGACCGACTCGGCAGACGCAACAGTTAGACTAAGTTAGGTTAGATAAATGTAGCCTTCGATATAGTTGAACAACTTACTGAGACCCTATGGGTTTATTGTGATACCACCGCTATGGACAAGAAAAGCAACAGTTAAGTTCATAACACTTTTACGATGAAATTGAAGCCCTTATAGGACAAGGAATCATTCTTTTTCAATAGATGCATTATTCAACTGAAATTGCAATTCAAATAAATAAACCTCAACAAAAAATATGATCCATTGGTATCACGCACAGCTTACTTCAAAATATTGCTATTCGTGTGCCATAATTTGAGCATTTTTAACAATATTTATATAAAATAGGAAACAGACTTTATTTAATAATTAAAATATTATTTTCATGTTGTCATTTTTTAATTAAAATACAAACAAATTTTTTTTGTTGTTGCAACTGTAGGTAAGACCACAATCGACGCCGGCAGTATTTGGCGTGTATCAATGCATCAACTAATCACAAAAGCAAACTGCTGGTTTCTGACCAGGTCAAATGCGGTGTTAACTGGTCTAAAATATAAACAAACTTACATGCAAATCTGGAAATGCCTGCGCTATATTTTCTACTGTGCAATGGTATAAATGCCAGAAACTGCAGCACGTTTCAGCAGTCAACTTTAAATACTAATATAACACATTTCGTTTGGAACAGGAGAATAGTTGGAAGTGCCCAATGCGTTTCATACTATTCGCATTTATAACATTATTTGGTTTCGACTTAACTACCTGTATTATCAATCCAGATCAACAGACATCGAACGGAGTCCTATTTCTCCAAGAACCTAATATGAAAGGTCCTTCGAGTTGGTCTATTGGCATGGAGTGTTTGGATGTGTTTGCTAGCATTTACTTCAATGAAAGGGAGCGTTTAACTCGAGCTTATAATGTAGTGATAACTAGTATCTTTAACATGAGCACACCTGCTGCGAATATACAGAACGGATACCTGAAATTTATTAACGAAATTATAAGCCAGCGTACTAAACACGAAGTTTACCAACTGCGCATAATGTCCGATTCACAACCCTATCATAAAGGCCACATGGGTAACCGAGCGTTACTATTGGCTGATTTTTACATATTAGTTACAGATAACTTTGATACATTAAAAAACCTAATGAAGAACTATATCACACAAGCGAGTTCTTGGAATCCTAGTGCTCGCTTTCTGCTACTCTATAATAATCCTATAGATTATGACTCATATTTAAATATTACAGAGAAGCTCTTTCGGTTTATGTTGTATGAATGCAACGCATACCGGGTAGCTATGCTTTTTGCCACGGGACCTACCAAATACACCTTTAGCGTATTGGATTACTATAATAAAATTAAATGTCAATCAATGCAAATACGTCACATTGGATATTGTCAAAATGGGAAGGCTCATCCGAGTTTTAATATAGTTTCCACAGTCTTTAATGTGTTTCTCAATGGCATTTCATTGAAAAATTGTACTTTTCGCATGTGTGCCTCAATATCTGCACCATTTGTGGAAGCCGATTGTATAACAGGAATCGAGCTCCGATTGGTAGCTTTTATTAAGAATCGTTTGAATTTTGAGGTAAGTGAAAATAATATTTTTAATTTATTAAAATTTTTTTAACCACTTACAGATTGTACAAACTTGTGAGGAAGTAGCACGCGGTGAAAATAAGAATGGAACTTGGACGGGGCTACTCTCAAAACTCACTGCACGGAAGTGTGACTTTATACTTGGTGGTTTCTACCCCGATAATGATGTTTCCGAAAGTTTTTGGTTTACTGACACCTATTTGGCAGACAGTCATACTTGGTTCGTGAAACTTTCTGAGGTGCGCCCACCTTGGAAAGCACTTTATAAAATATTCAACAAATACACCTGGGTATGCTTCGGTTTAGTCCTTCTTATAATTTGGTGTTTCTGGTATATTTTTGTAAATATGATGCCAGAACCAAAAGCACATAAAGAACTGTCACTGGCAGGCTTAAACTCAATGGCGGTATCGATATGTGCGGCTGTGAACGAGCGCCCGCTGTGCAACACGCCACGCATATTTTTCTTTACTGTTGCACTGTACGGGCTAAATGTGTGTGCTATATACACCTCGTTACTGGTATCTGTACTCACGGACCCTGGCTACTTACATCAAATTGATGAACTCAATGAAGTGGTGGAACATGGCATACCATTTGGCAAGTTTTATTTTTTTTGTTAAACCAAAGTTAAAAACCAAAGTAATTAAATATGCTTTTAGGGGGAATAGAAGAAAACAGTGACTGGTTTGAGAATGAAGATGATATGTGGATACATGATCAATTTAATAGTTCGGAATTATTTCTACCAACATCAGAAAATCTTAAAGCCGTTCAACGTGGCGAACGCGTCATATTAAGCAGTCGCATGTTTATTATGCAGAATAAAATCGCCGATGAAATTTATGCCTTTCCTCAAAACGTTTTCAACAGTCCCTTGCAGATGATCGTCATGCCAGGTTTTCCTTTGCTTAGCCATTTCAACTACATGATACGTGCCATGAGTGACAATGGAATATTTTCGAAAATAGACATGGATTTTCGCTACAATAACTCATATTTAAATCGCATTGCCAAGATGAGACCAAAATTCAAAGGTACTTTTACTTCGATGTGCTCGTATTTATAATATTAAAAATAATAATGCTGAATTTGTAGAATCTACAATTGTTTTAACTACCGCCCATGTACAAGGACCTTTCGGAATATTAATTATTGGCCTATCTTGCAGCTCTTTATTATTTATTGGTGAAAATTTTTTATACTACACATTGGGACCGTATTTGAGAAAACACTATGACTGGAATATTGGAAAAAAAGCAACCAAAATAAATACAAAGAAAGAGAAAATGAATAACGGTTTAAAAAGAATAGTAACAATGAAACCACAAAGATATGATAAAGTTAATAAAAAAGAAAAATCACAATTGGAAAACAATATAAAAACAATCAAACGAAGTGGACCAATAAAGTCAATTGAATTCATAGTACCTCATCAATGGTTGGAGGGGACCAATAAATCCAAAAAAGTGAAACCAATTAAAAAACAACAATTTGTTAAGAACATTTATAATAACAATCCTACCATACCCGTACCTTTACGTACTCCGAATATCATAACATTTTCCATACCGTCGGACCCAATTAAGCCAAAACAGCAAGTGCAGTTTATCGGTTTGATAAAGAATTTGAAAGCGGCGGAACGATACGACTCGCCATCAACATTCAAGCGATCAAAACGACAAATTAAACCACGATCAGCAAATCTAGTGTACCACGCAAAACCAGTGAAGATAAATAGGTCTCATCCCAAACTACATTTAAGCACGAATTTACTAAAACTTTTTTCTTATCATCTAAAATCCAGTCAAATAAATAATATTAAAGAATTCAAAATTGCCTCCCTGCGAAATATGCGAAATCTGCAACTCACACCTATTTTTTACAAGAAAAATGTTTTTAAGTAATTTATACATTTTAATTATTAAATTTGATATGACGGTAGTGTCTTTTTTACTTAATAGCACTAATTTTATTTAATAGAGAATTAAAAATAAAATAAACAAAAAAATATATAATTAATTAATCCATATATTCTACAACTGGTTCATGATTTCGTTCTAATATAGCACAACAAGTGAATTTGTTAACGAACTTTCACAGCAAATTAATCCGAATATACCGGCTTTGGTTCGGTTGCCTAATGAGCACTGACTGTGAGCTTCAACTTTGGTAGGGCACGAGTTTAACCCTTGGTACTTGCAGTCCCAAAAAATTATTTACGAATAATTAAGTATAAGAAATAATTCCAAGACCACTGATGATGGGTATTTGGCAATACTCGAAACAGCTGTATGGTCACTATTTTTGCTGTTCTACTTCACTACTTTTCGAAACCTCTGTTTTTTAATTATGTATAAAAAAGTTTTAGATTGCAATAAGAGTTTAATTAAATGTATCTTAAGATAAAATTATTGTCAATTAATTTGAAACATTTTCATCAAATGGTATACTTCTGAAAAACTTATCAATCCATCTGAATCCTTTTCCATATCAGCTAAAATCGTTTAAGCTACGAAATAAATTGAAGATTTTACGATTGAATTTATGTACTTTTGTAGAGAAAATAACTTTTTCATCATATCTAGTTTAAAAATATCAAAAGTTATTTGCAATGAAGCTATCGTAAAATTTAACTGCATTTTTATAGCCAATTCCGAATCATTTTGCATTCACAGCATTTACAGCGATTTCCCGTATTTTTCGTATTTCTTCCTCAATTCTTATGTTAGTTCCATCGGATTGAAGTTTTTCTTGGATTTCGATTTTTATTTCAATTTCAAAAAATAGGATTCTATGCCAAAAAGGCTAACAAGTTTTAGATATTTATCTCGCCAGCAGAATTCACTGCACTTTTATCAAATTTCAAAGGTTAAAGAAACCGGAGTTGCCAAAATGCTCAATGCCAAAATTGACATATTGGCTGATATAAAATCAGTTGACGAATAACCAATAACAATGGAGCCCAGTCAAGATAATCAATCCTTAATCCATCCTTTAAAGTAAATTTGAATTTGAATTTTAATTTTAATTTAATTTTCTTTTACAATAAAATAATAATTATTAAAATTATATGAATGTTGAACCAGCTTATGAGGATGACTTTAATGCTGGTCTCATTTTTGAAAAAATAAAAATTAAAAATAGTTATTTTCTACAACAACTGAACTACATTTTATTATGTAGTTCAATTATTATTCAATTATTATTTTAATTGAATTTAATTTGAATTTTTGGCTGACCATACAGTTATTTTGAGTGGTCTTGGAAATAATTCTTGTATTTAATTATTCGTAAATAATTTTTATTTTCCTGCAAGTACCAGGTATCGAGCTCGTGCCCCGCCAAATTTGAAGCTCAGAGCCAGCGCTCCTTAGCCAACTGACCCAAAGCCATACTTGACTTTTATGTTCGCACATTGCTTTATGTTCGCAGTTTTGTTAATTTGCTGTGAATTTGTTATTTTTTAAAAAAATCTGTGTGTTAAAAACAAAATATTAACAAATTGTTTTTTCTTTTAGTATTTTACTTAACAATAAGACCAGTAGATCGAAAGATACAAAATAATAAGTCGAAAGATGTTTCGAAATGTAAGCCTGTGTACTCAGACTCTTATTTATAATGATTAGTTAGTTATTAGTTTATTTTTTCCACTCTGTGTGTGTCCCATTGCACTAGGATATTAAACAAAATTCATTAAGATTCCGCTTGTATCTTCGGCATGAGGCAAAGCACTTTAAACTTTTATATTCACCAATTCTGATTACATTAAACGATTTTCTTATTATTTGTTATTGTCTGTCACTTATTATAAAAATAAATTAGAATTTTATTATCTAGTGTATTAATTTCCGCCGTCTTTCCGATATTATACTGCACTTGGTGTAATTCGCTTAACCGTTCGTTGATTTGAAAGAACATTTGAAACCCTTTCCTTTTAACAAATTTATTTTTGTTATTCTTATTACAACGTCTTGTTATTTAAGCCAAAAATAAAATATCTCTTCAGCAACTTCAGTTTGAGTCAGCACAGCAAAAACAAGTCACAAACATAGAAAGAATCCAACTTGCCATCAAAATTACTTTGCATAAAAGAAACAAACAGAAACAAACAGATTTGTTTGCCAATGCAAATTAACTTGAGATAAAAATTTGTGTTGAGTAATATATTGACTTTTGGTTCCATGCTAAATAGTCCTTGACTCTTAGAGCAGTAATAAGATGGAGTCGAGCACAACTTGAAAGTAACCAGCAAAATATATTTTTCAGTCGCCTCGTTCTTACTCTTCATCAATTCTCCGAAAGTTCTTCTGAAAGTTATTTTTTCGTATCCTGTAATATCCCATTTGATTCAGTTCGATGTACACTATAATATATTCAAACGTGTAGCATGCTCCATTAAGTCCACATCGCCAAGTCAAAATGAAAGCAAGTGCAAGTAGCTTTTGCATTATTTTAAAATGTGAAATGCAAACTTATTTTTGTCACAATAAGATACGCAAAATGTATCTGTGACACTTATGCGGTGATGAACGCGCATAAACAAATGCGTAAGAAATTACAATAAAATAAATAATATATGTAAATACATATATTTACATGTAAGTACATTTAAAATCAACGCGGTATGTAATTGCACAGCTGCAAAGCTATGCACATGAAACCCGAAAAATACCGAAAAATCAGATATTGCAAATGAAATGGTACAGAAAAGACTGTTTTTTGGGAAAATACAAAATCAACTGTGAAGATGTTTCAATCTGAATGGATTCAAATTTTGTGCAAGCGAATGCAAGTTAAATGAGCGCATTTGACAAAGTATCTGAAAATGGCACTGAAGTAATAAGAACGATTCGCGCAAATGGACGCCTTCTTGTCTGTGTAACACAAATCGTATAGAAAGATATATTTAACCAAATAATTATTTACAATAAACAAAATACTAAGGAGCTAAAAACAACATTTAATATAATTGCCCAGTTAATATCTATAAAGTTTTTAGAAACGCCCGGTAAGTAGCAAGTATAATGTATAGTTGGTTTACATACATATATTTGAAGTTAGATACACACATGTATAAAATAATGAAAATGAAAAAAAAATATATAAAAAAATATAAATGTATATAAAAATATAAATCGAGAATCACATTTTCACTAGGTTGAACTGATTACCATTGAGTTATTACTCGTATGATTATACTTTCTGGCATGTACACAGGGCTATGACGAAGTGTTGATAAAGAATATACTTGCAGTATAAAATGAATATTTTTCAAAAAAGGTAGATTTAAAGACCTTACCAGATCTATGTGAGTCCCAAAAGTTTAAATGTGTGGTAATAATGAAATATATTCTATAATAATAAAAATATAGTTCATAACCTAACCATAGTTTATCTCTCTCTGAAGCATTTACGTAATGCCATGTATTGCATCGTATGAGTTCTATTATTATTCAGTTATTTTGTCGTAATTACACAGTATCGATTATTGATTGCACTTAAGACTCTGTTTATCATTGCATTATTATATCTTGTACTATATATAGTCACTTAAGGGTATCTTGCATTTCAATTTTATTTTGTTCCAGATCTCATATGTATCAGATAATGTATAAGAGCAGGGCGTTATCCAAATATAAGAAATGATGTTTCTGTGAATTCTACGCACAGTTTCCACTTGTTAGTTTTTAATAATCTTAACTGCACTTTATTTCAAAGGCAGTTATCACTTGAATCATTGTTCTCTAATCCAATCTGTCTAGTTTTATTAGATATTTGTTCTTCTTTGTAGAGCAATTCAGAAAGAATAGGTTGATACAGCAAGATCGTCACTGGTTCAACCACTTTTGGATAGCTTTGCTGGAGACGTTCGATTTTGCTATGCTTTTGAAGTTATTTTTGCTGTTCCTGGAATTGGCTTCGTCCATATTTTTGCTTCTTTAGTTATCATAAGACTACTTAATACCCAACAGCTAGATTTTGTAAGTCATTGACTGTATGCTAAACCAGTAGAGAACTTGTCGAGCTCAAGCCTAAGGATTTAAAGGCTACCAGACAAGAGACTTTCGGGTTTATTAAGTTTTCTGATATTAAATGTCCACCACCGACATATATATATATATACCGATTTAATATATATGTCGATTTAAAATACTGAAGTGAGAAAAGGTAGAGTTAGAAGAATTTCAAAAAGTTTCACGTAACTAGAGAAACAAAAGCATAAAGACCTTTCCAAACGACACTACTGGAGTTGTAAATATAGTTCGCATTTTGAGAAATTCAATCAATTCTGTGTATAATGTAGCTAAGCATTAGGGACATAGACAGAGGCGTAGCTCGAGCAGCTAAGTATTAAATTTGAACCAAAAGTAAGAATTTGAATATAAAGAAAATTGTCCTATATTCAAAGAAAGAAGAGAAGTAAAATTAATGCCAAAATTATAAACTTGAGACAATTACTGATACATTTGTTACGATAAGAAAATGTATATCAATTCCTAGTACTCACAATACATTTACAAATATATCTTTCAGTGGGTAGGAAAGGGGATATGGTCTCTAGTAGTAAAGTAATTTGCCGGCGTACATAAACTGCTATTAATGCGTCGATAATCACTTCACCTTGGTTTCTACGCATTTTTATTATATTTTTATTAATATCTGGGAATAACATAAATGCTGCAATAAATAAATACTATTTAATACGTTTATAATTTAATGGTTTTAATGCATTAATGGATGAAATGAAATAATTTTAATATTTTTGTTCTAATTTCTATATTCGTCTAATTAGCTTAGAGAGGGTAAAACAAGTGGTTTTAGAAACGCAAAAAGCGATCTGAATCTATTTCTATTAGTATTTAAATTAATTTTATTGTCTTGATTTGTGGAGCCAGATTTCCAG